TATGGATAACAGAAGAATCTATTTATTTAGTATTTAATTTTTCCCCAGTTACGTGTAAGAACAATTTTTTAACATTTGTTTTTAAAACTTTGAGTTCCAAATTCTCTCCTTTTCTCCCTTCTCACCCCTTCATTGAGAAGGCAAGCAATTTCATATATGTTACGTATGTGTAGTCATGTAAAACATGTCCATAATAGTCATGTTGTAAAAGAAAACAGCCAAAAAAAACCTCAAGAAAAATAAAGTGGGGAGAAAAGTTGCTTCAATCTGTATTCAGAGACCATCAGTTCTTTCTCTGGGCATTTTTCATCGTAAGTCCCTCAGAGTTGTCATGGATCGTTGTATTGCTGAGAATAGCTAAGTCATTCACAGCTGATCATCTTACAACATTGCTGTTACTTTGTGCCCAGTACATTTCACTTTGCATCAACCCATGTAAGTCTTTCTAGGTTTTTCTGAGAGCATCCTGCACATCATTTCTTATAGTACAGTAGGATTCCATCATAATTACACAACACAACTTATTCAACCATTCCCCAATTGATGTGTATCCCCTCAATTTCTAATTCTTTACCCCCAGAAAAGAGCTGTTATAAATATTTTTTGTACATATAGGTCCTTTTCCTTTTTGCTTTTTATCTTTTTTGGGATACAGACCTAGTAGTGGCATTGCTATGTCAAAGGGTATGCATGATTTTATAGCCCTTTGGACATAGTTCCAAATTGCTCTATAGAATGGTTTAATCAATTCACAGCTCAGACAACAGTACATTAATGTCTCATTTTTTCCCACATCCCCTCCAACATTTGTCATTTACCATTTTTGTCCTATTATCTAATCTAATAGGTAGCACCTCAGAATTGTTTTAACTTGCATTTCTCCAATCAATAGTGAGTTAGAATATTTTTATGGCTATAGATAGCTTTAATTCATCTGAAAATTGATTATATCTTTTGATCATTTATCAATTGGGGAATGGCTCTTATTTTTATAAATTTGACACAGTTCTCTTTATATTAAAGAAATGAGGCCTCTGTAAGAGAAACTTGCTTCAAAAAACTTTTTCACAGTTACTGTTGCTAACTGTATTTCCCTCCATTCTATTTCCCCCTACTCCCATTTATTCTGTTTTTTCTCTCCTTCTACCCTGTCCCTCCTCAAAAGAGTTTTGCTTCTGATTACTCCTTCTCCCAATCTGCCCTCCCTTCTATCACCCCCCCTTCTCTTATCCCCTTCCCCTTCTATTTTCCTGTAGGATAAGATAGTTTCTATACCCCATAAGCATAACTCTTCTTTAATCTCATAGGAAGTGTGAAGAAGTTCCTTAATCAATCCAAAGGAATTATAAAGCCCCTAGCATTGCCTGGCTAAAAGATCTAATAAGTTCTTGTTGGCAAACTCTGAGAGGAGAGTCATCCCCTGCAATTGAAAGGACCAGATATGCAGGAAAGAACCAGCTCTTGTATTTCTTCCAGGAGATCTGTGCTTGGGAGGAGATTTCTCTTTTCTACCCACCACCTCCACCATGACCCCCCACCCAGGCCATTAGCAATGGCATATTGCAGTAGAGCAACTCTCCCAATAGGAGATGCCATGCTGATCCAGAGAATCATTCCAGAGAATTAGCCCTTGAAGCAGAGAGGTGAACTGTGGAGAGGAACAGATCTAGGAATTCCAGAAGAGCAACCTACTCAGCAGAGGGACTGTTCCCACTGAAAGAAGCATGAAGACACTGTGCAAAGACAAAAGACATCTGTTCTCCTCAGTGCCAAATGCGTGAATTTCCTTAGCCATGCGTATTCCCTATGTTTGTACCTCTATGTACTCTATAGTACTGTATACTAGTGAACCTTGTGTGTCCACTTTTCCCACTGGCACTGTGTATATTTGTGGGAGAGTATGCCCCAGATTTATGTAAGGAATGTGTTATTACTGTTTATGCTATGTCATTTCAGTAAATGCCTTTACTTTGAGCTAATTGTATCCTCCTACTGACTAGAATAAAAATAAATTCACCAGTGGGGGCTTGTGAACTCTAGTTTTGGAAGTGGAGACCTTTAAATACCTTGAAGCTAGAATAGTTGTCCCCTGGGAGACTCAAGCTATGACCCTGAAGACCTGAAGACTGGATCATAGGATCACAGATTTGGAGATGGAAAGGACCTTAGAGGCCATCTAATCTAACACTCCTATTTTGTAGATGAGGAAATTGAGGTCCAGGGCAGTAAAGCGATTTGCCCAAGGTCACATGGGGAGTAGGAGAGTCTGGATTGGAACTCAGATGCTCTGGCTCCGCAACCAAGGTTCTTTCCACTGAGAACCTCCCAGCTGGAAGGAGCCCCAGAGGTCCTCTGATCCAACCTGAACTTGAACAGAAATCTTTTCTATGCTCCTGACAAGAGGTCATCCAGATTTTCCTGGAATATCTCCAGTGATAGAGAACTCTCTACCGCCAACAACAACCCATTTCCCTTTTGGACAACTCTCCTTGTAAGGACATTTTTCATTATATTGAACTGAAACCTGCCTCAGCAACTTCCACTCACCACTCTTCTGGGGCCAGTTAGAGCAAGCCTGATCCCTCTTCAACATGACAAATCTTCAGATGGTTGAAGATAGCTATCACATATGGGAATCTCTTGTCTTGGGTCAGCATCTCCATTTCCTTCAATAGATTCTCTTATGGTCAGCTCCATAGTCTTTTCACTAGCCTGGATGCCTTCCTTTGAATACTCTCTAGTTTGTCAATTTTTTTTCAAAAATATGGCACCCTGAACTGAACATGAACTCCAGATATAGTCTGATCGGGACAGAGCACTTGCTGCTGTGCACCAGCAGTGAAAAGCCTGAGGTTTGGGGCCCTTGGATGGAGAGCTCTACACTGTCATTCCTAAAGCATGGGGCATCTACCTTCTCTGAGAAATTCAGAAGTGCCAAACATTTGATCTTGGGTCATCTTGGTGAGCAGCTATTCTCTTTATTAGGGGATCTCTCTGGCTATTCACGGTGGCGTAAGAATGAGTGAGTTCAAATCATAAGGCAACTTATATTTACGTCATTCATCTCAGAAATGGGTGCACTTGCTTTCCCAAGATGAGGACATGGTCTTTCTGCTTCCTTATTCTGTTTCTTTTTGTTCTTGCCCTTAAAAAAAAGTCCTTCTTTTCTTAAATTTGTTTGACTGCTTTACAGAGGATTATCAATGAATAGGTACATCTTGACTTAAAGATCAGACTTTGAGGCCTGCCACCTGCCAGAATGTGCACAGATTGACCTTCACGGGCCTGATTGCATATCTTTGGGCCTTTGGGGTTGGGGTCCTGGTTCTGCCACTTCCTGTGTGGGTGACATCTGAAAAGTCACTTCCTCTCCTTGGGCCTCAGTTTCTTCATCAGTGTCCACATCTGTAAAGCGAGGGGTGATTTCTACGGTCTCTTCCAGAACTAAATTCTGTGATCCTGGATAGAATGGTATCAGAGTGATACCCCCTTCCTAGGTCCATGACCTTAGGCCAAGTACCTCTCTCTGAGTATCTATTTTCTCATCTGTAAAATGGAAATAGTAATACTTGCAGTACTAATCTCAAAGGGTTGTTGTGACAAAAACATTTCCAAACCATAAAGCATGATAGAAATAGGACCTATTAATCATTCACATAGAAGAACTACAAAGCCCCATGGCCCAAACCATCTATATTCCCACCTCTGTCTAGTCACTCCACTTTCACTGCCTTGCCTCCTCCCAGCTTATATTACCTCTTCTCAGCCTCAAACTCTCCGCTTACTTGAAAATTCTATGAGACCAATAGTCTACTGCGGTGGTCCTTGAACTTTTTGGCCTCAGAATCCCTTTGCTCTTTTAAAAATTATTAAGACTCTCAAAGAGCTTTTGTTTATGTGGGTTCTATTCAGGGGTGTGCCGGAGCCAGCTCTTACTGGTGGCTGTGATTGTTAAATTTTCAGCGTATTTATGTTGGAACTGAGGCTTGTTTCATTTATTGTCCTGTTGATAAAAAGTGATGGAGAAAATATTAATTAGATATTAAGCTTAAAAGTATGTCCTGCACATATCCTGTGTTTTTAGATAGCCAGTTATTAAACATTTATCAGTATACTATTGGTTATATCTATTGATATCTAGCATATTAGAAATTAAAACATCTTAATGTTATTAAGAAAATAGTTTCAGACCCCCTGAAAGGGTCTCAGGGCGCCCCTTCCCCACTGGACCACACTTTTTTATTTAATTGTATTTTATTTTTTCCAATTATATGTAAAGACAATTTTCAACTGAATCCCACTTTTAAAAAATATTTAATTCTTTCCAATGATGTGCAAAAAATAATTTTTAACATGCATTTTAAAAAATTTTTGAGTTTCAAATTCTCTCCCCTCATTGAGAAAGTAAGCAATTTTATATAGGTTACACATATGCAATCATGCAAAACATATTTCCATATTAGTCATTTTGTAAAAGTAAACATAGATCAAAGAAAGAAAGAAAGATAAGCAAAGTTTTTTAAAAGTATGCTTCAATCTGCCTTCAGACTCCATTGCTTCTTTCTGTGGAGGTAGATAGCATTTTTCATCATAAGCCTGGGCCACACTTTGAGAACTACTCTTCTATTATAACCATTGCATTAGGGGCTTTCTTCTGATGTGAAGTGCCCAGGTATACTTTGGGGAACCTCCATGAAATGGAACATAATATGAAATGGTGAGGTACTAAAGTTAAAGATAACTATAAATGTACCTAACTTAAAGGGTTGTTGTGATTAATTTCTGTAAACTGTAAAATGCTATAGAAATGGGAACTGGTTCAATTATCAATTACATCTTTTTCCAGGTATCTACCATTCTACTTGTTCCCCAAAATGGTCACTCTTGAGGAGGGCCCCATTCCTCTTATGGCTCCTTATCAGACCTGTTATCTTCAGTGATTTTACAGGGGACCAGGGGCTCTTAGACTCTCCTGCAGGTTCATTTCTGCAGGAATCATCCTCCTGAATGGATCTCCATCCTTCATGCTGGTGTTGGCCTAGTTCAGGCCTGATCAACTCTGGAAAGAGAAAAGGAAAGCTCTTAACTGATCTCATCAAGTAGCGTCTTGTAGTGAATAGAGCATTGGACTTGGAGTCAAGAGTCAAGAGAACTGGGTTCAGATCACACCTCTGACACTTAACTCTCTGAACACCGTTGGAGCCAGCTCAAACTGGCTCCTCAGGGCTAATTGCTAGATTTTCAGTACGAGCATTTACACCTGGGAAATCAGCAAAACCCTACAAGTCAGAACTTTATTGTTTTGTTGATTGTCCAGACTTAAGAAAGTGATGGGAAAACTTATGCGGATGAAACATTTAAGTGTGTCATGGTTATACTTTTTTCAAACTTGTCCCCAGAGCTGGTTGTTAAACATTCACCAGCACACTTCTAAAATGGGGATGATAATACTTGTATAATAAAGTAAAGAAAACACATTGTAAGAATTGATGCTTTGTATAAATTTGAGTCTTTGTGAATTCTGGGAAGGTGGAACCATAACCTCCTCATGCACACTTCATGAATCAGACTCCAAACAGCCATGGCCACAAAATGAACAAGGGTTTTTTATGAGGTGACTAAAGGGTGATTCCACACTTCCTCCAAAAGCACACCCAGCTACAAAGGGAGCATAATAATCCTTGTGGTTTCCTACCCTCATCACCTGTCATTCCTAGTCCCAGATCCTGTCAGGGAGTGAGATAATTTAACCCCCCACAGAAAAATTGATCTCACTTGAAACTCACAGAATGAGGATTAGATTCCTTAGAAAGGAAGCTGAGGAGAAAGAGGTGTTCACCAGCAATAATGGCAGCTCAGTCTCCAATCTAGATAGAATCAAAATCTTGGCCAGATGCTCTCTTCCGTGGCCCATAGTACTCATAGCTTTGACTACTAAGCTGACTCTAAGCTAATGGTGTGATTGCTTCAGAATATCGGGGCATAGCCCAAGATACTAGCTCTGAGACATTTGTTCGGGCACAGCATCAGGATTGGGAGACATTACCTCATGACTGCCCATAACCAGAATGAAGGAACTCTTTTAGTCTGTGTTAGTGGCCTTAGAGAATTTATCAGATTCAGTGAACAGGGTGTTGGAATGTGTGTGCCAAGATTTGCACATATGAACTCATGGGTCACAGAAGGTGCCTTACTAATCTTTAATTGCTATCGGTCACTTCTTAATCTAACCTTGGATTTTCCCCAACAAAATTTAAGTAGAATACTTCTTTCTAACTCATTCTGAACCTTATGTTTGGAATCAAAAGCCCTCTGGATATGTATATGCCTCTGGGCTTCTTGCCAGTTTAGCATCAAAGGCCCTTGTAACTTCTTTAATCTGAAGTTATGGGAACTTTTTAGCTTAGGGAATCACAGGCCATCTTCTACAGCATGCTATTGAAGTAAACTCCCATAAATTTTAGCTCTTTTTCCTTCAAAGTTCTTGTTTTCCCTTAAGCACAATCCTTCAGAGTTCTTCTTTTCCCTTAAGCTGTACTGTAGTACAGCTCCCAGCACATAACATGGTGCCTTGTACATAATAGGCCCTTAAGAGATATGAGATAAAAGATTTATTTATTGAGTCAAATTGAATTGAAATACTGTTTGTCTTTTTCTGATCAAAGAGAAGTAATTTTTCCTCCTCTTAAAATTAACTATCCTGTGAAACCAGAGCTTAGATTATAACATGAATAATCATGTTATAGAATAGGAAAAAAAAACACTTGTTCTTGAAGGCATTCACTTTTCCCATCCAAAATGCAGTCTATGCCCTCCCTATACACCCTCCTGCTGCCTGCTACTCATTCCCTTTTGTGCTGTTCCCATCTTGGAACTACCATATCTGGAATCTTATATGTCTATAACCCAATAATGTCCAGTTTCCTAACTAATTGGCATCACTTTGCCTGTGACATCAGAAACCAGCAAATTTATCAGATTCCTCTGAGCAAAACTCCCCACACTCCGCCCCACAAAAAAAAAATCTGAGTTTTTCTGATTCCTAAGCTGTTTACATGCACAGAATGAAGATGGGCTCAGTAGTCTCACCCATGGAACTGATGCTTGTGACTTAGTGACACCTTGGTATAGCCATGGATCAAGTAGCTGAAAGTAGCCTCTCCAAAGTCCATCATGAATTCCTTCTTCCTGCAATGGTCTGAAGAATGACTGGTGATATCTCTGATTGTATTCTTCCTCTGCCCTTTCCCATATAGCTTTGAAGGCATCAATCTCAAATCCAATTGTGGGTAGGTGCTATGGCTGCTCAATTTTAGAGATGTCAACTGCTGTCTCATCATGAAGAGGGTGGATGTTGCCCTGATAGTCTTTTCTTGATTTTCTTACCCCATCTCCATCCTAATTTCACCCATGCTCTCTTGGCCTCCTCCAGTTAAGTCTGCGAGGTTAAGTCTATCTCCTTTCAAATATAACATAAAAGATAAAAAGATCAATTACTTTCAGGACTGCCTGATTTAACATCATAGAATCATAGCTATAGAACTGGAAGGCCATTGAGTCCAAACCTCTGATTTTACAGTTGAGGAAACTGAGGCCCAGAGAAATTAAATGATTTGCTCAGGGTCACACAGCTAAAAAGTATATGAAGTGGAATTTGAACCTAAGTCTTCCTAGCTCCAAGTTTGTCATGCTACCCTCTATACCACTGCCTTATATGACGTCTATAAGGCTCTATTTTCTCAGCAATGAACCCTAAAAGTTTCCTTAGCAACATCACATTTACAGAATGTGTTACAAAACTGCTTTCTGAAGAAATGGCTGCCCTCCTGGTAACCCATCTCAATGACGAATCATGAGGTCACATAGCAACGCACGTACACATCAGTGCTTCTTGGTTTCCTAGTGGTCCCAGGTAACAGGAGCAGTTTGGGGAAGAGATAGGCTTGATTTTTGCCTCTACCCCATTGCTATGACTCACCTCAGGGATTTTCCTAGGGCGATTACTATCTCTTCCTTCTTTCCTCCACTCCCGCAGCCCCTCTCAGGCTCATTACAGACTTTTTCCCTCTGTTCCACACTGTCTACTGTGAAGAATCCAGTGCACGCTAGACCCATTCAGCTTGTCCCCAATGTAACAATGTAACTTCAGCAGGAGAGGGTTGAAATGTCTCAGGCCAGGTATAGTAAAACAAAAGGCTGAGTTACCTCCCAAGAAGCCCTTGCCAGGCAATCAGGGTGTCCAAGGAGGTCATTTTCATCTGGATAGGGAGCCCCATTCTACCAATGCAATTCTGGTCCATCTACTGAAGCATCTACTCTGCAACTTGTGGTCTTAGAAACACTTAGAGGTGACAGAGGTGAACCTTGAACCCAATTGTCTAGACTCCTAGGTTAGCCCTCTATCCATTGTGCCTTGATGCCTCTCTGTATTCGTGTACACATCATTTCCTCCCAGTAGAATGAGATCTTTTTGTTGGCATGGACTGTTTTTGGTTTTGTCTTTGAATCCTTAGTCCTTGGTGCTTAACAAAATACTTGTTGAATGAATAAACTATGTGATCTTGGGTGAGAAAGATTTCCTTTCCCTGGGCCTCAATTTCTCTATCTGTAAAATGAAAATATTGGACTAGATGACCTCAAAGGTCCCTTTGAGTTCTTCCTATTCAGTGGGAGTGGGCCTAGGGAGACAGATTGATAATTCTAGGTCTTCTGGATCTCATGTTTCTCAAAGACATTCATTATGTGGCTTCTTACAATTAGGTTTTTCTTGAAAATATGTTTCCCTGGTATCCTCAAAGTATTAAAAGAACCAGGGAAAGGCACATTAGATGTATCCCTTATGAAGGATTTCTGGAAAGATTTAGACAGAGATTGCACACGATTAGAAGCCAGAGAACGGCTATGATTTACACAAGAAAGGACCCATATTGATGAGCAGGAATCCATTGAGGCCTTGAAATATAGATGATGGGCAGTAGGAGAGAAGACAATCTTAATGGAGCGATTCCCTAATGATGCCTCCCATCCCCTCCATGGCATCAGCCACCTAATGAGGTTTCATATATTTCCAGTCCTGGTGCCAAAAGCTACATGGCCATCCTGTGACAGCTGGTATTAGACTCTGGTTAGAACATAGTTTAGGTTTTTTCTGCTTATCTGTCCAGTTTCTGGTGAACCCTATTTCACAGCCCTACCTAGTGTGAGGGGCAGCCAGTCCAATTGAAGTAGGTTCCTTAGTCCCCTGGTGAGCTAATTTCAACAGTACTGGTCTCCTTCCCACTCTGCTCTCTGCTTAGTGACTAGGTTAGGGGTGTTTATGCTTCACTCCCTCCCGCTGGTCCAAGTCCATGAAGGTTATTCTGATCCTAGTCCAAAGATCTTGGAGGCCCCCCCCCCAGACTCCCACATATTTGTCTGAGCTTACGCTTTTGGTGACCCGCTGAAGTCATCTCCCCGTCAGGCCCGTCACCTCTCCAGCTTCTTGCCTAAGCCCAGCCATGTGGTTCTGATTAGAGGCTGGAGCTGCAGCCAGGCCTGACTCCCTCTGTCTCTGATGTTTCCCATTAAGGGTGGGACAAGAGAAATACTCTCATCCAGAAACAAACCCCATTAAATAGGATTGAGAAATAAGAGCTTTCTGGTCCCTCAAGTATTCACTAAGCAGACATAGGTCAGTTGGTGGAGTATATCTGTAACCTAATGGGACTAGCTATTCAGAGTATGGTATAGCATGTAGCACCTTAGACAAAGAAGTCAGAAGACCTGGGTTCTAGTTTTTGCTCTGTCATTTTACCAGTTACAGGCCTCCTCACTTTTCAATCCATCACCACATAATTGTCAATTGATATTTCTAAAGTTCCAGTCTGACCACGTCATTCACCTACCTCAAAAAACTCCAGTGATTCCATATTGCCAGTAAGACAAAGTACAATCTCCTCTGTTTGGCATGGAAAATCCTCACAATCTGGCTCTAGCCAGTCTTTCCACACTTATTGCATTGTATTCTTCTTCCTACCCTCTACATTCCAGTCAAACTCCCCTGCACGCTGTTCCCCATATGTGACATTCCATCTCCTATCTTTGAGCAGATCGTCCCTCCTATGCCTGTGATACTCCTCCTCCTCACCTCTGACCCTTAGGAAATTAAGTTACTGTCAAGGCTCGGGTTAAGTGTTATCGCCTGCTCGAGAGCTTTCCCATCACTCTCCCCACCCCTTGTCCCCAACACACACACACACACACACACACACACACACACACACACACACACCCCATTATTTAGATACTTCCTCATCCATTATTCTGTATAATTTACTTCTCTGTATACATATTGTGTCCCTGCAATAGAATTAAGTTCCCTTAAGCAGGGATTCTTTTCATCTTTGTATTTCCAGCGCCCTACACATCATCTCAGACTGGACTTGTGATATCAGCAGTGTAGGGAGAGCCACTGAAGAACTTTCTCTACCCCTACTGATCAGCACTTTCTCTGAAACTTAACTTCCTTAGAGAGTTGCTTAGGACACCAAAAGCTTCAATGACTTGCAATGTTACATAGCCACTGTGTGTCAGAGGTAAGTCGTGAACCCAAGGTCTTCCAATTTTAATGCCAGCTCCCTAGCCATCGCAGTACAATGACCTATATACAGGCATACCTCAAAAATATTTTGGGTTCGGTTCCAGACCACTACAATATAGCAAATATCTCAAGTCATACAAATATTTTGGTGTCCCATTGCATATAAAAGTGATGTTTATTCTATACTGTAGTGTATTAAGTGTATAATAATATTATGTCTAAAATTCTAATGTACATATTTCAGTTAAAAATACCTTATTGCTAAGAAAAAATGCTAACCCTCTTCTGAAACTTCAGTAAGTCATAATCTCTTTGCTGGTGGAGGGTCTTTCCCTGATGTTGATGGCTGCTGAGTGATCAGGGTGGTGGTTGCTGAAGTTTGGGGCGGCTGTGGCAATCTCTCAAAATAAGACAACAAAGAAGTTTGCCATATCTATTAACTGTTCTTTTCACTTGAACACTTAGAGGTCATTGTAGGGTTATTGACTGGCCTAATTTCAATATTTTTGTGTCTCAGGGAATAGGGAGGCTAAAGAGAAAGAGAAAGGTTGGAATGGCCAGTTGGCAGAGCAGTCAGAACACACAATATTTATCAATTAAGTTCACTGTCTTGTATGGGAGTAGCTCATGGCACCCCAAAACAATCACAATAATAACATCAAGATCACAGATTACCATAACAGATAATAGTAATGAAAAAATCAAATTACCAAAATGTGACGCAGACACAATATGAACACATGCTGTTGGAAAAATGATGCCAATACATTTGTTTGACACAGGATTGCCACAAACCTTCCATTTGTAAAGAAAAGAAAGGGCATCATCTGCAATGCACAATAAAGCAAAGTGCAATAAAGCAAGATATGCCTGTAATTCATAGTAGCCACTTAATATAAATAAATATGAAGAAACTATTAGGAAGAAGGCTGCAGGGCTTTGACACAGACTGCAACTGCCTGAAAGGTACTGTGACCAGCTAATCTTTCTGGCGCAGTGCTGAGTTCAGGTCCCAGACTATTATCTACCAGATAAAAACTTCATAATGGTAACCATCATGGTGATGGTGATGGTGACACTAGTGGGAATGCTCTCACCATAGGCTGAGAAGACATATACAGATTGCCCTGACTTAGATATGCAAATGTGAATATTGGTATTCAGTACCTGGTAATATATATATATATGTATATGTGTGTGTGTGTGTGTGTCTGTGTGTGTATACATATACATACACACACACACACATACACACACACACACACACACATTCTAATTTGGAACTATTTATGGGGGGAAAAATCCTGAAATTAAACTGGACAAGTGTGTTTTGAAAATATCCCAGCATTCTTAGTGGCACTTCACTCTTCACATAAAAGTCATTTCCCTGTGGATCTGTCTTTGCTGACAATAATTCCTTTGGCCATATGTACAGAACTTCCTACTCATTTTTTTTGTTGTTGTTGTTCTATAATCAATTCTCAATAAACACTTTCCCCTACAGAATTCATCTCTACAACAAAGAAAAACAGGTAAGCAAAATAAAGTGATACAATAATGATATCTGACAGTGCATGCAGCAATTCATACTCCTAGTCTGCCACGTCTCTACCAAGAGGAGGGCAGTGTGCTTTGTAATCAGTACAGAGCTTACAATTTACAAAATATTTTTCCACACTTCATCTCATGTAATCCTCCTGATAGCCCTTGAGAGAAATAGAGATAGAACAGGTCCTATAAGCTCCATTTTGCAGAGGAGGATACTAAGGCCCCAGAGAAATTAGGTGTCAAAGAAAATTCTAACTAGACTTGTCCAATGACAAATCAGGCTGCCTCATGAGGTAGAGAACTCCATGTTGCTGGGAGTGTTCAAGCACAGGATGTGTGATTCCCTTGTGAGAGAAGCTGTAGAAGAGATTCCTGAGTTGGGGAAAAAATAAAATGGATCCTCTCCAAAGTCCCTTCCTACTCAAGGATTCTTACAATCCCAATATCATGGGGTTTTAGGGATAGGAGAGGCTTGGAGGACCTCTAATTCAATCCCCTCCTTTTATACATGGAAAAATTATATTCATAGGAGTCAATTGACTTGCTAAAGCTCCTTTCTTGTGCTATTGAGTGGCTTCTTCCTTTGCACAAGGGCCAACCTGACCAGTCCGTTCTGTTGGCCACCACTGTACAGCTTAGCAGGGCTGGGTAAGGTCTCACTGAACCAGGATTGGAACTCGTGATCTCTAATTCCAAACCCAGCATTCTTTCTTCTATTCCAAGCTGTTTTCTCCTCTGAGTTTATAAGGCTAAGTTTCTAGGATTCTATGCCTGAAATTATATCATATCAGCATCCAGTATAGACATAGCCTGACACAATGAGGCCAGAACTCAATGTTATGCCCCTGAGAACAATGAAGATTCCAAAACTGAGCCTCTGAGCTCCAGGTTGCTCAGATTGTTCAATGACAGGTACCTCTGAAAGGGTTGAATAAATGCCAGGATTTCTTATTCCTGTGATTGTGAATCATGAGTCAGACCCCCAAGAAAGCTTAGGGACCATCTAATCCGAGGTGGGGAACCTGTGGCCTCAAGGCCACATGTGGCCCTCTAGGTCCTCAAGTGCTGCCCTTTGACCAAATCCAAACTTCACAAAACAAATCCTCTTAATAAAAAGATTTGTTCTGTAAAACTTGGACTCAGTCAAAAGGCCTCACCCAAGGACCCAGCAGGCCACATGTAGCCTCGAGGCTGCAGGTTCTCCGCCTTGATCTAGCCCAATCTTTTCATTTTATGGAGGAAGAAACAATTTCAGAGGGGTTAAGTGACTTGACCCAGATCACACAGGTGAGTTGGGATTTAAATCCATGCCCTTTTCCTACAGGTCCAGTACGCTTTGTACTTCGCCATATTGATTATCTTTGGGGCTTCACTGTTATCAGAGGTTGATAAGTGCTATGGGGTGCTGCTATTACTCTCTGACCACCTCCTGATCCTGTAAGGCCCACAGCATCCCAGGGGATCTGCAAGGGGCAGTCACCTCCAGGTCACAGGACATGGATAAAACTTTGAAATTATTGGAGGATGGGGGGGAGGGATGATCAATGAACAGAGGTGGCAGGACATGGCTCTCTGAAGAAGGTTAATTTGACATTGAAACTGGAGTCACTGTACTTAAGCAGAAGAGTGACTGGGTACAGTAGTTTCTAGGGAGGGGAGCTTAAATCAATCAGAACTCATTCTTCTTGCCACAGAGTGGCTTCCTTCTTTGCATTTGACCAGCTTAGCCAGTCCATCCCATTGACTATTGAAGGCTAGTAGGTCTGGATAGGGGTCAATGACACTTGAAGTTAGAGCCTAAGATTTATGGGGTCTCAGACACAGGAAGTGAAGATAAGGAGACTCAGTTACTGAAATTATAGCATAGAATGGGGACTCGGTCATAGTTAACCCTCTGCTGGGCAGATCTAAGGATGCAGAGAACACCATCTAAATTAGTCACTGTACTGGGCAAGAGAGTTAGAATAAATTCATGATTGCTTTTGCAGTAGCACGGAAGCGGAAACAAAGTAGACGCCCATTGATTGGGAAATGGGCTAAATAAGTTGTGGTACGTGAACATAATGCAATATTACTGTGCTGTAAGGAACAATGCCTATGATGAAGAGAAACATAACCTGGGCTGAGCATGTTTTGAGTGTTCCTGGTTTGTCTAACATGGAGCCTAATGCATCCCCTGCCACGTGGGTGGGCAGCCTCCTTTAATTGGCTGCCTGCAACTTCTAAACTGGTCAGATTGAGCTATTTGCCCTCGTTTTGATGCCACTCTTTTCTGCCATCTGTCAGCTACACTTTGCTCTTTTCATCACAGTCTGGATGTCATGAACTGAACCAGTGACAGATGAAGGAAAATCCCTCCCCTGCTTTCCCTGTTTTACGTTAGCTCTGGGTCTGGGAGTATCTGTTTCTAAGTTGTGTTGTTTGTCCTTGGTTTCGGGTGCCCAGTGATAGGTGGGAGCTCAAGCACCGGTGACCTTGGAGTCAGGATTGCAGATGCAGTCATGTCTTTCAGCCCATGTGGAATGGAAGCCCAGAGAAGTCAAGGTGCCTAGAACTGGGGCCCAAGATGGGCCAGTGCTCTAGAGGAACTGAGCTGTACTAGAAACTGATACCCTTTCCCTCTCCAAAGACTGCAGTAGCACAAACTAGGGGGAGGATTAAGCCTCCTATGGGAAGAGTAGGGTTGCATATTTTTTTATTATACTATTTGAAATAAACTTTCCTTTGTAAAAGCTCCACAGGGTTACACAGAGAAGCATCAGAAGATTTATATGAACTGACGCAAAGTGAAATAAGCAGGTAGGTGGCATAGTAAAAGAATTAGACTTGGCTAAGTTCAAAC